TCGCGTCGCGCCAGGAATCGGCCACCACCGGGCAACGCAGCGCGTCGATATCATAACGGAAGATGCATGGGCGGTAAGTTATAGCGCTGCCCGACTATGTTTTGCGAGAAGAAACTCCGCTTTTATTCACTCTCGCCTTTCTCGTCATATTTCAGTCCCGTCTTCTGCCTCGTGTGTTTTTGTGTGCGCACATGTGTGCATATGTGCGTGCGTTCGTGTACAAGTCTGTTTGGTTGCGTTGGCAGATGTGTGTGTATGCGTGCGTGCATGGGCATTTTCCTTCAACTGTGCAAGTGGGGGAGGGGAATTGTCTACTTTATTTCGCTCGGAAAAATGTGCGACTTTACCTAATGTTACAGTAAGTAATGTTGTGTATGTTACACAGCAGGAAACTTGAGCAACAGATATTTATGCAGAAATGAAATTTAGCCGTGAATAGTTATAAACGTCGCCATTCAGAGAAATAATAAAGAATTGTCATTATCAAAATTCGCGTCCACTTTTCTTGAATCAGTGTTAGACATTTTTGCACCAGGCCTGAGAGAAAAGAAAACATAATGCGTTGATAGTTCCCTTCTTTCGAGCACGACAAGACGTTTAATTTTCCTTGGTTGTCTTGACTCCAAGCCAACCAAGGTTATATTTATTGACTCGCAGATGAGAGAACTTACGATAGCGAACATACGCCGTTAATGAGTTTCTATGAAATTTTCGCAACAAATCCACGACTCTTTCGTGAGGTGTGCTGTTGTGTGTTAACGTGTTAACGTTCGCCACTTGTAGTTCTTTAATACAGCCTGCAAGGTACGTGAAACTTTCTCCTTACCCATTCATTCCATCGGGATCGAACACGCATTTTAGTTCAAATTTATGTCCATAGGCGTGCGAAAACGTCACAAGCTGCTCTATTTTATGACGATGCTTTCAGCATTTATAGAAACGCAAAATTGCAGCAGAGATCAAAACAATCTTTCTTCTTTCATAAACTAAATCGACAAAAAGGACGAAATTTCGTGGTGGCCACGAGAGAGAGACGCGAGCGTTCAGAACTCGTCTGCCACAATCTCGGGTCTTGAAACTTTAAAAAGCCCAATTCGTGCACTGCATGCTAGAGGCGCATACGAGATTCGATGGAAACCTCGCGTGTTGCAGGGCGCAGCGTGTGCGATCGGCGGCGAAGTGTTTTCTCACTCGCGCTGCCGCGGCATGGTGGAAGGAGGAATCGCTCAGAAGCTCGCTGCATATGCTTTAGTATATAGCCTCGCAAGACGCGGCGACTTTGGGATCGCTCGCAGGTCGTGTCGGGGCGAACAGATGCACACGCGAACGAATACGCTGATTCCCGTTTTCGCTAGAAAAGAATCCCCCGTGGGTTTCAGAAATGAGGGAGGGGGAGGGTGTAGCATATCGGCAAACGTATTCCTTTTTTTCTCTCCGCGTTATATGGAAAGAATGACTCGGAGAGGGAGAGAGGTTGAATGCATGACGAGCGTCCGCGATCTCTTTGGGACTAAGGGAGCAGCCGAAGGTGCACAACGGCGATGGGCGGATCTGGGTGCTCCGTTTTGCCTCTTCGTGTCTCCTTCTGTCCTGGACGGCCGCTTGTTCGCGCGTACATATGTATGCATGGCCGCTTGTTATATGGGTGCCCCCGACAATCCGTCAAAACTGTCCCGCTGCGGCGTGTTTTTCGCGTGAGCGTTCGGTTTCCAACTGTCTGCCTATGCTCTCTCTCTTTTGTGGCGCGTATAAAACGGCAGATATATATGCCGGTTTCGAGCGTGCATTGCGGTCCGACCGGACCGCGTCGCACCGGACCCGGGCAGCTTTGTGATAATGCGGTAGCGTGAAGTTCGAGCGGCGTGGAAGAAAGTGCTGGCATTGACGTTGTATGCAAATGATGACTCAGATTTTCGATGTTAGCGGCTCCGTGCGTATGTGCTTTTCTTTTCTTATTGTACGACTACGACAGCGCCGAAACAGGGTGATCTTGTTGCCATACTGAATATCGAGGTCCCCTCCCCTCTAGCAGCCCTCCCTTTCACCTGTTTCTGTGCATTGTATTACATTATTTATAGTTGCTAACTTTAAGTCGTTCTCAGTGCTCATTTTTTTATTGAAAACGACAAATTTTATCGTCGTAATCACTTTCGAAAACTAATATAATTGCATCTGTTGTTCTTCATTCTTGAAAGGGCGACGGAAACGTCTTGCTTGGTTTCTAAACTACAATGGGTGGCTGCTAACTCATCATGTAACACTAACAACAGTTTAAATAATAAAGCACCACTCGATGATAACAAAAAAAACTTCAAAGCAGCTAATAATTCTTTAGTAGATATTCTCTAAATGAAATCGCTGCTTTAATAATAGCGACCCTACTGACATATCTTCTTAGAATGCACTTGTTACCACGCGTCATGAATCTCGTCTCAGTCACTCGCGAACGTGATATTATTCCGCGCATTAATGTTTATTGAAGGCGGAAACTTAATTTACAGTTTTTTCACACCTTCCCGAACAAGCGTTAGTGTTGTATTCTACCACGCGTCAAAAAAAAAAAAAAGGGGGGGGGGGCAAATACGGCATGACAGGTCGATAAACAGCATAGACCTGCAGGCACTGCGTGATCTCACGCAGGCGCACTTTGCCAACTCTTCGTTCTGCTTCTATATCTCGCTGAGTAGGATGAAAAAAAAACATAGAAAAGAGAGGCAACCCGGTCGTCCTTCTTCAGGCTCTCAGTTCGGAGGGGCAAAAAGATATAGATGAATCGTGACAGGAACGGGTTATGCTTTTAGAATCTGGGAATAATAGCGAGTGCAGAGATGGACGCTAAAAGCGCGGAGCTAAGTTGTCGCTGAGAGCAGAGTGCGGTGTAACGTAAATGAAAAAAGAACGGTAAAACACAGAAAGGGGAGAGAACGGGAGGAAGTTTAAATTCGTCCGAGCCGGAGCCGAAAGTCAAAGCAGAGAAACGGCTCTGGCGCGAAAGAAGGAAGAATTTCCGTACCCTCTCTTCTTGCTTAATTCTGTCTTTTAGTTTATTTACTTTGCGAAGCGAAGAACGGAGGACATCAGCATCGCCGTACGGCTTTCAAATATGGACGGTGCTGCGGAAATGGTGTGTGCCCGTCGAGCACTCGCTGGGTGCTCCGTTCGAAAAGCCAGGGAAGGGATCCGAAAATTATTACGAGAATCAAGAGCGCGCGGAAGGGATAACAGCACACGTAGAAGCAGAGAAGGAAAGTTAAAGTAATGAAAAATCTAAAAAAAACGAACGCAGTGTGACAAGGCAGACCATGGTGCATGCGAGGAACGAAGAAATTACTCCACTCCACTCCTTTCGATCAGTATTAGCTGAGAGGCTGCGCAGTATATGCATTTTGACTGGAGGAACTCCTCAAGAAACCTAATTTGTGCGGCGAGGAGCGCTTCTCCTTTCCGCTGGAGAGATGCGCTCGGAAGCCCCCTTCACGGAGTCCATCGGCTCCCGGAGCGAAGTATTCCTCCCCACCCAACGGACTGCCTGTGCCTGATGTTTCTCCGGGGCTCGTGCATATTCCAACGCTGCGCTAATTCCATCTCTGCCTGGTTTCGGAGGTCTCTACCCACCGTCGCTGGCGCCGTCCGAAAAACGCGCTTTTTTGTTCTCGTTGTTCCTATTACAATCGCTGATGGAACACAAGTGCCTCTTGTACGTGTGTCTGTAAGGAGGAAGAATTTTTCTATCTCTTTTTCCTTTTCTTCTTCCCGTTCCTGAAGACAATATTGTGTTACGCGCTTCCTTGACTCTTGTTTCTCCCGCCAATGGCGCACCTCGCTTCCTGTGTTTTGTCTTAGCGTTTTTCGAGTTTTCGGTACCTTTAACTTCGTTGGTCAAGGTGGGCACATGTGTCACACTGAAACAAATTCATGAGCAGTGCGCGCGTTGGTGCATTTGTTCGTGGTATGTGAGTACAATTGTGTGTGGCTATCTTATATTGCACACGCCTTGTTTTCGCTGCTCTACAAACAGTGCTAAAACTATTCGTCCAACACGTGACTCCATGGTCTTGACTTCCTTTTTACTGCGAAAGCAATTATGTGGGCACTCAAAGCGCAGTTGTAACATCAATTTCGCTGGCGCCGTGAAGATTGTGGTAAAATATAAATTGATAATATCGCCACCCGCATCGTTGTGTGTGCGAGTGAAAGCATGCGAACTCAGCCGAAGACCACCGCTCAAGCGCAGACGAAATGAGCCAGCCGCCTCTGTCGTGCGAAAAATGCGTGGAGCCGTAAGTGAGAGGACGGGGGGGGGGGGGAATTTACTAAGCGTCACGATACCCAAACCTTCGCCCATCGTCATGATTCACTTCTTGGAGATGAAAAAAAACTTTTTAACGAGCGTTAAATAGCTCATTTCGCAGAAATTTCGCCGTCGGCGTCGTTGGTCATGAGCGAAAAATCATAATTTTATGCATGACCGAAAATCTAGAACGATGCAAACGAAACATGTAATTAGAAATCATGGGTTGAATAATAGGTTAGAGTGAGAATAGATCCCGGGGCGTTTGGGTCCAAATGGGAATTGATTGATTGATCGATTTGTGGGGTTTAACGTCCCAAAACCACCATATGATTATGAGAGACGCCGTAGTGGAGGATTCCGGAAATTTCGACCTCCTGGGGTTCTTTAACGTGCACCCAAATCTGAGCACACAGGCCTACAATCCAAATAGGAATTGAACCTGGGTCATTTGCGTGGCAAGCACTAGTTCTACCTCACAGCCACAGATCTGCTTGTGAATGCTGTGAAAATAACGTCCTCTGCTTGGAAATGCAGTGAGAGTAACTGTCATGTTTTACAAACACATGCGTCCGTATACATGCTTCACAATATAAAAGAAAAATGAAATATTGCAGTAATCCAGTGTTTATTTTTTACTATTCATTTCATTTGAATCGTTCTCTTTTTTTTCGGTCACGCTTAAGATTATGATTTTTCCACTGTACAGCCGAGCAAGCGGACAAGCCTCATCACGGCGGGGGTGCCCTGCTGCCCAACGGTTTCAGCCCGCAGCAAGCGGCTGCCGCCGCGGCCGCTGCCCACCTGAACGCCACGCTGCCCTTCCTCGCCCTGGGCTCGCACCCGCACCCTGGCGGTCTGCTGAGTGCCGCCATGGGGATTCCCCTGCCCGGCGCCACGCCGCACCACCCGCTGGGAGGCGCAGCACCCTCGCGCACCGACCACCACCTCGCCAAGGCCGCGCCGCCTCAGCTGGATCCGCAAGCCGCCCTGAGGTAGGCGTGAGAGGCGTTTCTTCTTCGCACGTTTGCAGAGCTCAATGCTTATATTTGTAATATACGTATTATGAGTGTTTCAATTAAGTTAGAACCGTGTAAATGATGTCCCCAATTAGTTTTCATTAAGGTTGTGTCAAAGAGAAAAAAACGAGCCTTTATAACTCCTCATATTTAAAGCCGTGATTGTAGTAGTAGTTTTCGTAGTAGCAGGCGTCACTCAGGTCACGTGACCAGAAAGGGCAATGAATAAAAAAATAGATAAAACTAAACGCTACTGCCGCTGATTATATAAATCATGAAAAGGAATTTCTACAAGAAAATGCAACAAAGTGATGATGGGGATGAGTGTCCGTACAAAGTGCAGGAAAAACAGCTCACATGCTGGCCCAGCAGCCACCAGGTCGCGTGACATCGCTTTGAGTGTTTCAAATCTCGCTGGTGTAGGTAAAATGCCAAGTGATCACGCTATAGCCAGTCACACACACTCGCGCACTTAGAGCCTCACTGCGCGGCGCTTTTTACGGTGTTGAAACCGGCTTTGAAGTTGTTTTTATCTTCTAATTATTAATTTGGAGTCGAACGGTATGTTGTTGCAAGGGGACAGACTAGATAAATCTAGTGTGGTAACAAATGGCACAGTTCCTGAAGAATCCGTAAACAGTGTTGTGTCGACGGCGGCGGCATTTCCGATGGAGGTGGAAATGTTGTATAGGCCCGTAGGCTCAGATTTGGGTGCACGTTAAAGAACACCAGGTGGTAGAAACTTCCGGAGCCCTCCTCTACGACGTCTCTCATAATCATATGCTGGTTTAGCGACGTTAATCCCCACATGTCAATCAGGGTTGTGTCGAGCCAACGTTTCGACCAGTGGATTGGTCTTCCTCTTCCTACCGTTCTACAGTTGCTTAGGTGGCATCGAAAATAACAAACTTGTTGACATTTGACAGTATTGTAGCGCTTGTGACAGAGAGAACAAAATATAAAGCAATAATAGTAATGATAAAAAAGTACGGTTGGTTACGCCATGCCAGAATAGTTTAATTGGGGAATCAAAACACGGGACAAGTAAGCACGAAATGGTACAGGACGTGATGGTCACGAAAACTGCGCAGGCCAGTCGCTCTCAAGAGAGAACACCGTGGTTTACGAGACACATACGCGCTAACGCTACATCTTCTACGAAATGCGAAACAAAAAAAAAAGGAAAATCTCGCTGGATACTGAAGTGTAAGAGATTGGATTCTGATATCCTTGTTCTCGTGACCTCTCGATCTTTCTCGTGAGCGACACTGAGGTTGAATTGGTTTCGTTTCTTCTCAGCTTGTTGGGCCCTGTTTGCGCAGCTGATTGATGAGTGGATGGATAGGAGGAGGGGCCGGGAACCAAGGGCTGAAAAAGCGGGTCGTCAAAAGGCGGACTGTGGTGCGCCGCACTCAATAGGCATACTGACGGGAGCTCCGCCGCGCTGGAACGTGGTCTATAATCAAGACAACACCGCTGCCCTTAAAAAATATGGAAGAGGAGGAGGCGGATGTTAGAGAAAAAGAGAGTTTGAAAGCACTCACTCACTCGTCGAACTTCACTGTTTGTCTGTTGGTGTGCCGATACGTGTGCGTAGTATTTCTTTGTTTGAAGTATGAGTTTTTTTTTTTAAGTTCATGCACCGTTTTCAACCAGCGAAAGCAATCCTCACTGATAACGCTGTGTTTGTGTGAAATGGTACCGGGGTCACGTTGAAGTGGTTAACGTTTTCGGTTGAAGTGACGGGGTGCTGTTCGTAAATTTTAGTGAATTTCGTAAGCATATTCGTTGCGCCTCTGGCGCTTTCAGTGATTATCTATTTGCACCCAAGAACGATTGCGAAGTAGAATAAAGTACGTTCGTGTATATCTGGACCATTTTATTTATTTATTTATTTATTTATTTATTTATTTATTTATTTATTTATTTATTTATTTATTTATTATTTATTTATTTATTTATTTATTTATTTATTTATTTATTTATTTATTTGCCTTGTAGTGCGGTTCGGTGTCGATCGTATCGGAGTGCATAGCACCCCGGTCATCCATTGTTTGAGTTGTTCACTTCGCCGTAAAAGCGTTCTGAGGTCACACGCTACAGAAGTAGACAGGATTAGTGAGTATTTTTTCCCTTTCGATGCCATATATGCAGCTTATACGCTTCACCATATATCTGATGCTGTATTGCTTCAAGGCGTGTTGTGTTCCTTAATAGTGTACATATAGTTAATGGACAGCACTACTTTAAGACTCTCAACACCTGAACATGAGATTGCTATGGAAGTGATGAAGGCGATAACGTGTTCACGCAGGGTAAAGCAGTATATTACTATAATGTCGCTCACTACCAGTTTTCCGACTTTCTCATAATTATGTACAAACGACAGAGTGTCGATTGAGAATATCTTGAGATTGAAGAAACCGTCCTCGTAGCCGCCTGGTGGGCGGTCGCTTAATGGGACCGACAACTGGCCACAACGTGTGACTAGATCTTGGTACAAACGAAGAGCCTGTTAATAGTAGTGACATACCAGCACGCTTTTCGCACTGTGGGAAGGATTTATACTTTTAAATCTTCTTCGAAATTAGTGGAAACCGATATGTAACTGAGCCTAGTGGAATAGCCTTGAAGCTGGATTATGGAGCCCATCACTCCATAGTACGTAGTCACGTAATGTGATGGTGCCGTGTGTGCCATAGTTGGTCCTTAAACTTGGGCTATGTATATTATTGTTTATCTCCGCTTTATTCTGTGCTGCTTACGCGGTAAAATGAGTTATAAAGTGAATAGTGGCGCTTCTGTCGCGGCAGCCAGTGGCCCATGTCGAGCCGCGGAGCTTGTGCTCTGGATGCACTCATGCGCAATAAACCGCACCGCTCTAACACGAACCGCTCTCGTGCTCACTGTATTCAGCATGTGTTGTCACGTGTGTATAGGATTTCACATTTGCCGCAGACAGAAAAAAATCCGATTTAAATCTATCCCAGTGTTTTCCACGTTACCATTCCGTAATTAGACACTGTATGCTGTAAACTTTCCATTGAGCTAATAAAATAGGTACCATGAAAATGTTTTGTCGGTCCATTTAAGGGCACTCTGGACTTAAGGAAACAAGTCACGTGCTTTCGCTTTTATGCATTTTCCTAAGACGACTCGAAGGCATAAGTTAGCCACTTCCCAGTAGATTGTATTGTATCCTCTCTTTTATCTAAAGCTCTCTACACCACACGAGGTTCCGTTATCATAATGGTAAGGATGACGTCACATATTTAGGTTTTCTCTAAAGACGTCATGTGGTGATGTCATCACATAATTTTTAATACAAAAGTGTTTTATGCCGGGGTCCACCACGGTTCCGCTGACGTATTTCCATCACGAATATGACGTTGTATAATACATAATAACAGATTGCAAAGAAAAAACGAGGAGGGAAAGTTCTGTTGAAGAGCACCGAACTATACGACCTCACGTTCCGCAGCGCGCGGTCCTATCCACTAGGCCACAGAGCGTACGTTGTCAAACTTTCTGACGTCAAACCATTTATACACACCCTACACCGTTTGGTGGTCCTCAGAGCTCTGTTACTTCAGCCCATTTTCGTCATCAGGAGCGAGATGGCGTGACGTGCTCGCGTTGGGCGCGCTCTCAAGGTCTTCGTCTCGAGCGTTTCGTTGAGAGCCGCCTCAGCCGAGCGTGGTCTCTCCCGCGCGCGCGCTTATCAGACTCTTGTTTCGAGTGAGCACGAATGTCACCTCGCTCGCTGCCGCGGCTGCGTTTACGAGAGGACCTCGCTGCTCATACACGAAAAAGTAATAATTGTTGCAGTTGCTTGCGCTTGCCCTGTCTATACTTGTGCGTTCGTTTCCTGCATCGTCCCTTCTGTTTGAACAGGGCGCTTTAAGTGTCGAGTTGTGCAGTTGTTAGTCCGGGCTCGCACTGCGTATGCTTATTTCGCGTGCGTTTTTGTTTGAGGTGCGCGCTGCAACTTTCGCGCTGCTTGCCGTTCTTCGCGTGAATTCGCAATTCGTTACTGTAGCATTCATTCCTTCGCCCTTGTGGCGAAATTATGCATAATAAACGCTCAGCTACATATGTGAAGACACGTTTCACTTTTGTGTTATACCGATTCCTAAAAGGAGGGATCAGCCACGTCTTTTCGCTTCCCTTGTGCTGACTCTGACGTTCGCGGTCACTTATCACGTTTTGAGAGGCATTTAAGGTTTTCGCCTTAAAATAAGTAACCCACGTGAAGAAACGCAATTAAATAACAGACGTGCAATTCATCCTCTTGTGATATGCACAGATTCGAAGTGCAGATCTGCACATGCAGCCATTGGGACTGTTTTCCTTTCTCTATTTCTTTTTCATTCGCTGCCTTGACATCACGAGTCACCAAAAAACGTTCAGCGTAATAAAGGGCGTCTAACTTCAAAGCACAAATATCTCGAGCTTGATCTTTCGAACATTTTCTCCCAGTGAAGTCTTCATCGAGTGCGACAAGCAATGGCCATCAATGACGGCCATTGTTTGTCTCGTTGATAACGATATGACGTCTTATTCAGCTACCTAGATCGGCTTCCGATGCGTGTACAACAGAACCGAGAGCAAACAGCAATACGTCGGGCGATCATTGCGGCCGTAGTTTTACGGCACGTGCAATCACAAGACAAGGACGAACGGAAGAGACATTTCATGTCTCCTCCTGTTTCCGTCTAAATGACACTATCAGTATTCGCTACGCGAGAATGTCATTCCAGAAAAAAGGAGCTCGCTGAAAAACACAAGTCTACTCTTTTCCTTATACAAGAAAACAGATTGGGAGCAGTATTGGGAGGAGTCCTGTATGTAATCTGTACACCTGTCATTCTCATAAATGCGTGGCCGCGTCGTTGTCTTCAGAATTGGAAGCAACGAGACATTGCCATTAGGATAAGGGGGCTAAACAAACAAACGCCGGCGAGAGCCGAAGTGAAACGA